AATCTGCTTTAATGAAAAGTGTGATGTCTTGCCCAGGATGTTCAAAGTGCTGGTTTTGAAAGGCATGTCTGCCTAGTGTTCTGCACAAATGCTGTCAAAAGATACCAAGGAGAGATGAGAGGGGAAATGGTCATTCCACTCCCAACTTATGTCCTCCATCTCTCGAGGTATTCTGCTTTTCCCATCTTGGACAAAGCTACAGCCTCATTGTCAAGTGCAGAATACGTATCTAGTGAGTTGGACTTGGCGTTGGCTGACGCCATACTCCCTGAGTCTACAGTTTCGGGAGGGTTGTCTTGGAAAGCTGATAAGTTCTCAGGTATTGCATCTCCAGTAGAGCCTATTTTCTTTTTCCTCTAAGTTTTTATTTTGCACCTTTTCCAATCTACAGTAGAGTTGCGAGAATAGTGCAATGAATTTCCGTGTATGTATCAGCTTATTGGTCGGTTAACATTTTCCTGCTTTCCTCTCTCCTCCACAGCCTCTTTCCATTACTCACTCTCTCCCTCACCCTCTGCAACCCCACAAACACATGTGAACATATGTGTATGTTTATTTTTTGATGAAGCATTTTGGAGTGTTGCAGCAAGTATCTCTGAACAGTAGGACACTCTTCTTACACAATACATTTGTCACACTTGGAAAGTTTAACATTGATGCAATACTATTTCATATACGGCTCATTGTGAAAGTTTCCCAAATTGTCCCCATAATGTTCTTTATAGGTTTAATAAGAGCAAAAAGAGCCCCGTGGACACTATGATGGACATAAGTGTGGGCGCAGTGAAGACAGGGAGGAGGAGGTTGTTGGTTTAGCCTTGGGAGCAGGAATTGTTGGAAATAGTTGGAAAAAGCTTCATAGAGAAGGTGCCCCATGAGCTGAACAGCCGTGTATCATTTAGACAAACCAGGAGCGAGGGCAGAGGGGGAAACAGGAGGGAACGTGTGTGTGTGGGAAGGGGGGCTTGGGAGGGGAGGGCTGGAGGCCAAAAGTGAGGGGTAATGTGAGGCTAGAGAGAAGTGGGGCCCAGATTCAACGTCATCTCCTGTAGGGCTTTTAGGAAGAAGAACCTGGCCGTGGGGTGGAGGAGTAAATAAAGGGGGGCAGGACAGGAAGCTGGAAGGCCCGCGAGGGAGTTACAGCTGCACTTTTCCAGAGGGGTCTCCGTGCATGTCCTCCCTTTTGTAAAAATTTTACTCATGTTTTCCAATTACAGTTTCCATTCTGTGTTATTTTGCATTAGTTCCAGATGGACAGCGTAGTGGTTAGGCAGCCCCATAACAGAGTGTTCTCCCCTTTACGTCCAGTGCCTACCCTGGCACCACACGTAGTTACTGCAATATCGCTGACTATAATTCCCTGTGCTGTACTTTACACGCCTGTTGACTGTTTTGTAACCACCAGTCTGTCCTCAACCCCTTCACCTTTTTCACTCAGTCCCCCAGCCCCCTCCCCTCCGGCAGACATCAGGGTGTCCTCTGTACCTATGAGTCTGTTTTAAGTTTGTTTGTCCATTTATTCTGTTCTTTAGATTCCACATACTGTGTAATTGGTATCATAGGTATTTGTCTCTGGCTGGCTGGCTGATTTCACTTAGCATAATACCCTCTGTGTCCACCCATGCTGTAGCAAAGGGTAAGGTTTCATTCTTTTTTATGGCTGAGTAATATTCCATTGTATGTATGTACCACAGCTTTTTTATCCACTCGTTTATTGATGGGCACTTGGATTGAGTCCATTTCTTGGCTATTGTCAATAATGCTGCAATGAACATAGGAGTGCATATATGCTTTTAAATTAGTGTTTTAGGTTTCTTCGGATATATACCCAGAAGTGGAATTGCTGGGTCATAAGGCAGTTCTGTTCTTTTGTTTCTGTTTTTTTTTTTGAGGTGCTTCCCTCCTGTGTCCCACAGTGGCTACGCACATCCTTTCTGAACTGCCGCAGGTCTCCCTGCCGTCTAGTGAAGTTAATGATAGTTTTTGGGCTGCCATTGGGGAATGAGAGGATTCCCCTGCCATTCTGGGAAGAGTAGAATGAACTAGAAGGTGGCAGTCCTGTCCTACCCTTTCCCTCTGCTACCTCCTGCCCCCAGTTATTTATTGATCAGTGAGAGTAGAAGGCCCGGCCTACCCTGCCCTTGTGTCCGGTGAGCTCTGTCTCCCCAGTCCCCCGCGGGGAAGGCAGTGTTTTCTCATTAGCCAGAAGCGGATACTCACAGCGTGCGGCGGCAGGAAGCTGGGGTGGCACAGGGCAGCCCTGCGGCTCCTGCCGCTCTGTGCCGAGGCGTGTGCCTCTCCTCCCCTGCTCCCCGGTCTCCGTCCCCTCGCCTGTGAGACCCGGTGTTGAATTCCATCGTCTTGAAGGTCCCTTCAAGGTCCTGATGTTCAGTGATGTGGGGTTCTCTGTGGAGTTCTTTTTCCTGCTTATTCTGCTCTCATCCTTCAGCTTCTGAGTTCAAACATGCTAACTAAGGGGAAAGGCGTTAAATTCGTGAGCTTTTCGAAGTACACACTGAGTACACTTCACAGCCGATTCTTTCCCTGTGATTTCAGTCTCGGGTACAGGCGGGAGGATTCTCGTTGTCCAGCGGTGGGATTGTCCCCAGAGCAGCCCCACTGCCGCAGGGTGGGGAGGAGGATGCGTGTCAAGGTCATGTGGCAGGGCTGCTGGCCCTCACGGTCACGCTGCGTGCTCCCTCCTCCCGCTTGCCTCCTGATCAGGGGGTCCCCTGGGCCCCGGAAGGGAGAGAGCAGGAAGCGGAGTGGTTTGGGGATGGCCTGGTGATGTGGACATTTGGCTTCTTTTTCTCTTTCATGGATGTAGCCTCATTGAGGGGGTTTCCCAGGCTATTTAAGTCCGCAGTCCCAAAGCTGCACAGCTGTCTGGGGGAGTTCTTAGGGGAGAACTGGCGTGGCTCCGGGGCAGGACAAGGAGAGAGGGGGAGTGAGTGGGGTTATTTCGCTTCTCTTCCTTGCTCCACCATCAGCCACGTGTGTGGGGGGAGGCCAGGGGAGAACCGCAGCCCAGAAGGGCGGACCCTGGAGAGCCTCGCGATGGCTGCTGAGCGATGATGACCTGTCCCACGAAAAGGCACAGGGAGACGTCACAGTGGCATCCAAAGGCCAGCCTGAGCCAGGATGTCCTTTTCCCGGCCATGGCAGATCCTTGAGTAGCCAGAGTCTCAATTGTGTCACGTTGTGGCAAAAAGAAAATTAGGAAATCTCTTTTAATTTGCATAGTTGTATTTTATGTAACGCTTCTTCTTCCAGTCCATTATAAAAGCAAAGCAGAAAGATAACTCAGACAAAATATAAAAGTGTATCATCAAGACAGATATGTTAAACATTCAAGGTCTTTTTATGGTATTTTGATTGTGTTACATGTCCAATTTTACATCTGGCTGCTTTTTTACTTAACACGGGTACATTTTCCTCTGACACAACTTCTAAATGAAAGGTAGAAGAACGTTACAAAAGATACCAACCTCGTCTCTCCAGTGGGCTGGCCTTTCCCTCGTCTCCTGTGAAATCTCTGTGCCTTGCTGACCTCATGCCTGTCTGTCTCCTTCTCTCAGGACATCTGTCTTCCATCTCTATGCGCAGCAAGGAGGGGCCTTAGCAGGCTCATGTGGAGGCAGAGTTACAGACCTGTAAGCTGTGATGTTCATGATCACGGATGTGCCCCCTTGCAAATGTTCTCCTGGGAGTTAGTGACTGTGTAAAGGACGGGCAAGCTTGGCCATGTAAGGAGGGAACATAATCCAGCTTCATGACCTTGGTCATCTTGCTTGAACTTGAACTAGTGTGGATCCTCTCCCCTCCCTTGGAGGGTATCAAGGAAGACCCGGCAGGCCAAGGCCAGGCTTCCAGATTCAAAATCCTGTGATTCCATGTGAAGAAGAGCAATGTGAGATGTTCCAGGTCAAAAAAAGCTGTGTTGTTTGGCTACACGGGTGGGATATTAATACTCAGTAACTTAGTCATTTAGTCGAGCAGTGAGAAACAGACTCTCCCTCTTCTTTGCATAGCAACAATAGTAATGAGTTACCTGCTTTCCAGCCCAGTTTCAGAACATCCTTCATTTGCTCTAAATGACTTAATCGTCAGGTTATAGGCATTTGGGTTTTATGGCACCTGAGTGACCCCTTGGATCCACTTTGGATCAACAAGGAGTTTCTGTGTCCCATCCCTGACAGAGCCACTCAGGTTTCTACGGATCTGCAGTAATGGGGCCAGTAACAAACGTAGGGGGAGCCCCAATGCCAGTCTGTTTACCAGAAGATTCTCCATTAAATGCCGGCCTATTTCTTTCTAACCTCTGGTCACTTCTTCCGGCCCAAATGGCCCTCTTCTTTGTGGCAGCTCTGTGGATGGCGATTTGCCTCATAGTTGGCCTTGCCTCCTGGACACCTGGACCAGGGGCTCTTGGCACATGCCTACCCTGCCCTGATCTCATTGGGATTCATATGCTTCTCTTGTGACAGAGATTATCAAATTGTTGCTGGTGGGCCCTGGTCTACCTGGACCCCCTTTGATGTGCCACCAGCAAACCCCAATATCCATGTTTGCGGCAACACACCGAGCATTCCCCTTGGTTGTGCCTGATGTCAGGAAGAACATGACAAAGCCCTTTGGAGCTGTTTTCTTCACCCTCTAAATAATGGGGAGTAAATGAGGTCTGTGTGGTAGGAGAGTGATGGCAGTGGAGAGAGACGGAGGCCATTGTTTTAGCCCCGATGAGCCAAGAAGAAAACCACTCAGAGCAGCCTTGTCCACAAAGCTAGGCTGGTATCGATGCTACTGCTGTTTCCACTTCCAGTTTCTTCTGTATTGTTTTCCCTGAATTGTCATTTGTGTACAAATCGAAAGAAGCTGTCCCTTGGCTGCAGCCGCTGTGGATTTGCTTGATGGCAGCCACAGTCTTTGTGTGCTTTCTTTTCCGCTCTTTCATGTCATCCAAGGGATTCCTGTCTGACTTTGCCTCCTTCCAAATGCAGGTGGTGCTTCCCACATTTATTCTGGAGAAGCGATCCTTGCTGGAGATGTACGCGGACTTCATGGCGCACCCAGACCTGCTGCTGGCCATCGCCGCGGGAGCCACGCCAGAGGAGAGGGTCATTTGCTTTGTGGAGTATTATCTCACCGCCTTCCACGAGGGCCGCAAGGGGGCCTTGGCCAAGAAGCCCTACAACCCCATCATCGGCGAGACGTTTCACTGCTCCTGGGAAGTTCCCAAGGACAAGGTCAAGCCAAAGAGGACTGCTCCCCACTCTCCTCCCAGCCCCCAACACCTGATGGCCGATGACCCTTCTGATAACTACAAGCTGAGGTTTGTGGCTGAACAGGTGTCCCATCACCCACCCATCTCCTGCTTCTACTGTGAGTGCAAGGAGAAGAGACTGTGTGTCAACACTCACGTATGGACCAAAAGCAAGTTCATGGGCATGTCCGTGGGGGTCTCTATGATAGGAGAAGGTAAGCCATGTCGCGTGTTCGCTGGAGTTTGACTCTTACACAGTGGTGTTGGTATGCTTGATAGATGACTGATGATTTTATCTGTGGAGTAACTTGTTTTTATTTTGCTTGGGAAATGAGGGCTGGGTGGGTGGATAGGTAGGTAGGAAAGAGGGACGGGTTTTGTTATTTTGGGACCATTTCCTGGTAGTTTCTCAGTGGGGCCAAAGTGAAGGCCTAGATGGGGGATGTAGCTGTTTGTCTAACCGGCTGCCCACCTGGATCTTGCCAGGTTCTGCCTCTGTGTGCGTGGCCTCACGTATGCTTTATTTTCAGCTTTGCATGCATATTACAGTTGGCTCCGGCTCTGTGAAGCACGTTTGTATCCATTCTCACCTGTTTTCTGGCTCACAGACAATGAGGAGAATAACACTACCTCTTCACAATCTGCCTATAAAAACTCCCATGGCAAATCTATGGACCCTGTGCTAGAGATTCTGAAGCGAGAACACAGTATAATCACACCACTCGGGGCCTGCGTGCTTCTATTTCCGCAAATAGCTAAGAATGAAGTTGATTCATTGTTTGAAGAAACCTCTAATAATCCTTGTTAAATTCAAGTGTCTGTATTAGCGATTCTTTAACTTCCTTTGAGTCACAAATCCTTTTGAAACTTGCAGGATGCAGACTCACCTCCCAGGGAGGTGGGGGCAAAACTTGGCTTTGAGTTTCAGGGAGTATGTGGCTCCTTGGAAGTCCTTCTGTAACCCCTTGAGATAAGAACACCTGTCATTCACTTAGCACATTTTTTACTGAGCACCTACTAGATGTCAGACATTGTTTTAAGAGCTATGGATACTTGTATGAACAAAACAGTCACACACACACACACAAAATCTGTTCTCATCAATCTTCTATTCTATTAGGGAAATAAAATTCTGTTTGTAGTATTAGAAGGTAAGTGCTCTGGAGGAAAAATAAAGCAGAGAGGGAACCTGGGAGTAGTGGGGAGAGAGCAGTAGAGCTTCTAGGATGGGATGGTGTCTGGGGAGGCCTGAGTAAGAAGGTGACATGTAAGCAAATACCCAAAGGGAGTGATAACAGACGAGCACTGTTGGTCACCAAGGGAAGAAGCTGTTAAGCAGAAAGAACGGAGGGCCTGGCATGTTGGTAGCAGGCAGGAAGGCCCAATAGCTGGAGCCGAGTGTACAAGGCAGGGATTGGCGAAGACAATGTCAGAGAAGTGACGGTGGCCAGATCGTGTTAGGGTCTTGGGGGCTGGGCCATAGCTAGGGCTGCTGGCTTTTAGAGTGTATGAGCTGTGAAGCCACTGAGGGTCATGATCTTAGGAAGATTATTCCAGTTGCTTGTTGAGAATAGACCATAAGAGGGGTAAAGATGGAAGCAAGGAAGACCAGTTAGGAGATAATGATAATAGTCTGGGCAAGATGGTAGCTTGGACCAGGGTGGGAAAACAGTGGAGGAGGAAAAATGTGGTGAGAGGCTGGAAAAACGTGGTGAGAAGCTGAAAGAGCCACGAGGATCTGTGCTGGACCCGAGGTCAGTTATGGGAGAAAGTAGTGATGTCAAGGCTTTTGAGCTGAGCCCCTAGAAGGATGGAAGAGCCATTCACTGAGATGGGGAAGGCGGGGGGCTGGGGAAGGGAGAACTAACTTGGAGAGAGAGTGTAGGAGCTCAGTGAGGTGTGTTACTGTTTAGACGTTCAAGCAGGGTGCTTGAGGCAACAGATGGGGTTCTGGGAGGCAGTTCCGTGCTGAGGTTAAACTTCGAACTTGACGCCTGGAGCCTGGCGAGGTTGCTGGGTGCACGCTGCTCCCGCAGCCCTCCAGCACTGACTGGTCCAAAGGCCGAGGAGCAGCAGTCAAGGAGGCTGGGGAGGCGTGACCAGAGAAGCAGGCGGCGTGGGAGAAGGTGCTTCCTGCAAGCTGAGTGAAGATGGCTGCAGTGGGACAGGGAGCGGCCAACTGAGTCTTAAGCGATGCTGCTCAATTCTGGGAGGATGGGAAGTGAGAACTGACTGTTGGCTCTTGGACGGTGCAGGTCCCTGGTGACCTACAAGGCTGGCAGAGGATGGCGCTGGTGACAATCTGATTGAAACCGAGCAGTTCCTGCTTATCCAGAGGCTGCACATTCCAAGACCCACAACAGATACGTGAAACCGCAGACAGTACCAAACCCTCTGTGTGTGTGTATTCAAAAACGTGGGTGCACATTATACATGGCAAAATATGGTAGTTTTTCCCTGTATGTATATACCTATGATAAGTTTAAACTGCTCTTGCTCTTTGAGTCACCTGATAACCCAGATGGCTCCTCAGTGACCCATGAGCCAGTAAGATACACAGGTGGATACTCCCGATCACAGTATAGTTCACACCCCCCAGGAGTGACTGAGTGGAGCTGCATGAGATTTCATCACGCTACTCCGAAGGGGACCCGGCTTAGTTCTGGAATTTTCCATTTAATATTTTTGGACCACGGTTGACCGTGGGTAATAGAACCCACGTGAAATGACAAATAAGGGGTGATACTGTAGATTTAAGAGAGAATGGGAGGACAGGAATTGGAGACACTTCGTAGAGACAGCTCTTCCTTGTTTGTTGTTTGAGAGCCATTGCACTGTTTTGGGGAAAACCACTTCTCTGTTCTGTCTCTGGGCTGTACGTTTACCCTTCGAGACCCTCCAGGCATAGACGAGGCGGCAACCCCGGGATGCCCACGGACGGGCCCAGCACCAAGGTCGACCCTTCCCGCGGGTCTCCCCCAACGCGGGCCCAGGGGCCAGGCGGCGGCCGCTGCACTGATTGCCCCTTCCTCCCCAGGAGCAGTCCTGGTCAAGAAATTCACCAAAGGACAATTCATCTATTTGTGAAGGTGGCCAGGGACTCCCCTATCACCGGGATGTCCTCGGGCCACCTGAGTTTGAGGCTTTCTCCGTGATTCAGATGGGGGTGGGTTGTATGTGTCACGGGCAGGATGAACGCATTCCTCTTAAACCACGCCAACAACGAGTGTCATGTCCGCCTTAGTGCTCTTTTGTGGGAGAGCATCGTAGCAACCCTTGTCCAGTCAAGACCGTCCCAGTACAAGGATAGTTTGTCTAGCTTTGGTGCCTGGTAAAAAAAGGAGGATGGTGTCAGCGAGGAGGAGTCGTTTCATGGGCCCCAGGGCCATGGATCTTGCAGCTGGAAGGGGACCGATCTGTCCCTCAAGCCCCAGGGTTTCCCCGGTGCCGTGGAGAAGCTCTGAGCCCAGGCCTTGACGTGGGTGAAGGGGGAGAGCGCTGGGGCTCCTGCTCCCACACGGCCCCCTCCAGCCGGAGCCTCTCTGCCCTCACCGGTTTCCGTGCTTACCTCTTGGACTTCCCCGTGGACTTCCTTTCTAAAAGGGTTCAGCAGCTTTAAAATGCTTAGTGGATCTCTGATGAGTCCATCAGCCCCCCAGTTTACAGAAGAGCAGCCTGAGGGAAACAACTTGCCCAAGGGCTCGTGAAGAGCACTGGACAACATTCACCCACCTGCCTCACTGCCTCACCGCAGCCCGGGGGAGGGAGCAGAAAGGCGCCCCTTTGAGGCAGGGACCATCTGCCATCACTCATCTCGGCTCTGTGGATGAGAAACCAGAACCGGAGAAGGTCCGGGAGTCCAAGGAAGCCAGGGATGTAGAAGGGATGGGGGCTGAACAGCAGGTCGGGGACCAGGGAAGGGGGTGGCTGGCCAGAGGGTCCCTCCAGGAGCGCAGCTGGCCTGATGAGGCCTGTCTCCCTGAAGCTGAGGAGATAAACTGGATTTCAGGCATGCTTCCCAAGGGGAAGCGCGGGTAGAGGTATGAGATCGAGTCTTTCATCACAGGTCTCTCTTCTGATCCCAGTGGAAACTTCTTTCCCTCAACTTAGCCTTCTCCTCAGAACTGCAACAGAGAGATGCTCTAGCGAGGCGCTGTTGGGCTTAAGGCCACATGGAAGGTCCTGGTAAGCAGGCCATGTCCTGGACCCCTGCAGGGCCCTGAGCAGGGAGCTCCGGTTCCAGCACATCAGGCAGCTCTTTTTGCTGAAAGCAGGGAGGATGAGGCAGGAAGAAGGTCACTAAAGACCCCCAGAGGGGCGGTTTCTGTGTGCGCTGATTTGAACACTTGGTGTGTAATAAGAAGTGAGAGTGGCATTAGCCTCGACTTTGACTTATGTGGGGCTCTGTGTTTCCATAGGTTGGCAAAAGGCCCACCTAATGCCTTGAGGCTTGTACTGGTAAAGTCTTCCCTTTTATTTCAAAACAAAATGTAGGATTCAGGAGACTTATTTCATTCTGTTTATTTTTGTTACTTAGCCTCAATTTCCCGCATGATGAATTTGTGTAGAGAAGGTAACACATTGAGGCAGTGGCCACCTCCAGTTTATACGGAAGGCCACGTGAGCGGGAGATGGCAGGCACGTTCTGCAGAGGTACCGCCCCCTTCCCGTGGTGGATTGATGGATTCATTCATTCACTGACTTAATGTCATCTGGAAACTTCGCCCCCCCTTTGGCTTTTATTAGCATACTAGAATAAACGTTCATATTAACCTACAGGACACTCGCTATGACTTTAAGACACTAGGATGGTGTGTTAAACTGGATGGTGGCACAGAAGGAAGAAGCTATGAGGCGCGGCCTGGGATACGCGGGAAGCAGGGCCCTTGGGGGGATGGGCGCCAGAAGCGGAATTTGCCTAGAGGAACCTGCCCGGGGGATTTTTGAATTCGAGATGCTGCTTGCAGTGTATTTACTCCCTTCTCTCTAAACGAGGTGGCGCAGATAAATCCATGGGTTCATCCCTCCATGTGTGAGATGAGCAGCCTGTTCTTGGCGTTGGACCGCAGGAGTGAGCGGGGCAGACACATTCCTGCCCCGGGGGAGCTGATGTTCTGGTGGGCGAGTCAGACGGAAAACAAGATGCGGGTGAGACGTGGGCAGGTGGCGACTGGTGCTAACGAGACAGAGCAGAGCGGGAAGGGAATGGAGTGGG